GACCCACAGTTACTAGCTTAAAAACTTGAGACAGGGAAATTTGATCATTGACTAGGTATGTTATGTCATTACATGTTGTTAACTTTGTGGTGTAAAATAGTCATAAGAGATATATATTAAAATAATTACTGATGAAATGAAATATAGTGACTGGGATTTGCTTCAAAATAATATGTGTGGAGGGGCAATTGGGTGTGGTACAGATGAAACAGTGCTGGCCATGAGTTGATAATTATTAAGGACAGGTATGAGTACCTGAGGATTTTTGTTATACAGTTTCCACTTTTATAAATATTTAAATTCTCCATAATAAATATAAAAATATGATGTATGTTTGTTAGAGAGGAAATAAAAATGCCAATTTAAAAAGTATTTTTGCTTCAGTATAAAATAAAACTTTGTTCAATGCAGAAATCACACAGGTGGACATGAACATATCAGCTTACTAAAATAATAACTGGCAAAAATTAGAATAAAGAATGTGGCTCGGTAAATAGTGGGTTTCCTAATACAACACCCTGAGTTAGGTAGACTTATTCACTGAATCACTGGTGCAACTGGACATCTGCAAGCCTCCTACTTCAGTGTAGGCTTACCTTAAAAACAAGAGCAAAGCAGAATGTTTTCTCTCTGTGAACAGACAAATCTTCAGAGAAAACCCAGAAGAGCCTGAACAGAGCATGCTCAGTTCATTCTCTCAAACTCATTTATTAGGTCAGTTGGGAGAGGGAGAGGCCAGGATGCTTCTTTAGTAGTTCTTTCAGGGAAACTTGAGCTCTGGGTCATGGGGAGTGCCCCCACCCCACAATGGAAGCCACAGGGATTTTTGGTATTCTAATACTTGTAAGCTTGATGTGTAGTTTAGTTTTCTATTTGTGATTTGGAGGAGGGGAGAATTTACCAAGGTTTTACCTTTGCAAATGACTATGGGAACTATGAAATCTTCCCTCTTTTATTCTATTTGTGAGGACTGTAGACATTCAGATATTAGAGTTTTGTGTGTGTGTTTGTATATTTTTTTCTTAAGGAAAAAAATTATGTTCTCATAGATCTAATGAAAGAATCAGTGGCAATGTCTATGGCTCCTGAAAATGCTTTGGAATTCCCTTAAACGCCTATTACAAGTCTACATCTCTAATTTTTTTCAAGTAGTTCTAACATACAAGATAAATAAAAATCCATTTTAAATGAAAACTTTGTTATTTTTCAGTTTTGTTATTTTTCAACTATTTTATTGTAAAAAAGATACACTGTTTAAGCTGCATCATGTATTAGAAAGTACTGTGGGAAATTAGTTAACCACAGGGATTTTTTTTTGTCATAATGTTATATTTTTATATTTCCAGTGCTTTATGGTTATGTAGATATTGAATACAGGAGGGTTCATGTTCAGCTTTATGGCTATACTTTTTATTATGTCCTCTAAGGTTATATTTGAATCTGTAGCACCTTTGACTTAATTGAAATAAATTCACATGAATAAGAGCTATTACATATGTACTTAGGTAATGGACATAGGAATTGTGAAAATACATGTTTTATTTTATATAGATCTTTGTGAAGCTTTGCTGTTCTTTTAGCCCACAGTTGGCAAGAATAAGAGTACTTTCTCTGAGATGTTGTTCAAAGGGAAGGTGTTTAAAGGGAGTGATTTCTATAAATTGAAAGAAGTATAAATGAGAATTCTCAATGGGTACATGATCTGGACCTTGTAACATTACTGAGTAATGTAGACTGAGCTCTTCAAGGCAAGAACTATCTCATTGATCTTTACTCTTAGGATCAAGCACATACATACTTATACGTTATATAGTTAGTGCTTAATAAATATTTATTGAAGAAATAATTGAGTCATCAACTCTCAATAAATTAGGTCTCATAATTAGGGGAGGAGAAGATGGAACATTCTATAAACTCTAATATAGGTCTTCATTAAACCATGTTTCTACCTTGTTAAACTTGTTTTCATGTATATAGCTTTTGCTTAGTCATTTAATTGTATAGTTTCAATGAATATTTTTATAAAGTTTTTAAAAAACATTTTTATTAATTTCAGAGAGGAAGGGAGAGGGAGAGAGATACAGAAACATCAATGATGAGAGAGAATCATTGATTGGCTGCCTCCTGCATGCCCCCTACTGGGGATCGAGCCTGCCACCTGGTCATGTGCCCTTGACTGGATTCAAATCCGGGACCCTTCAGTCGTCAGGCCGATGATGCTCTATCCACTGAGCCAAACTGGCTAGGGCAATGAATATTTTTAAAGACTTGGTTTCAAGTTAAGAAAACTTGAAGGCTATGTGTAATAACAGGAGCATGAAAAAAAATAAAAGGAATTTATCTTTGTGGTGAGATTGTGAGTGTAAAATTTTTCAAATTTCTATTTTTGTTGTGACAATATTGATATATTAATGATAAGAGAAAAGTGAGATTAAGACAATCTATTTTACAGAACCTTTGCAACTCTTTAATGTTTGCTTATTCATTGAAAAAGCATTATTTAGTGCTATAAACCTGCCAGAAATAATTAGAGATTTGTTGGATTAGAAAGTGCCATGTTATAAAGATCAATAAATATGGCAATTATTATATTGAATTGATTCTATAAAGCCTATTTTTTTCTATTTTAATATCTGTAAAATTTGAATAAATCATATAATTGATGGTGTATTTCCGTTATGTAGCATTTTTTCCCTTAATAGTACATAAAGTAATAGAATGTCTTATAGTTGATGATGTCTTAGATCTGATACAGTACCTTTTTAAGTCATTAAATTTTAATATCTTGGGACAAGAACTACATATAATTGATCTTGGCATTTTCCGAACGTATAGTATGAAATCTCATTGCATATATTTTGTGCTAATCATTAAAGAAGCATTTCTCTTAAAAACTTATCTTTAGAATGGAATGTTTAGATTCTATTAATTTTGAGTTTTTAAAAAAATTATTTTATATAATTATATATAATATTATGACAATATAGTCACTATTTTTTTCTTCCATTGAATAACTTAAGCCTTATTGACATTTTAATTACTCTTTTTAAAATGGTTCATTACTTGTTTTCAGCCATTACAGTGTATCTTACTGTATTAGGAATTCTTGGGTTGAATTTTCATTTATGATTTGGGAGGTGGCTGTAGTATGTGCTTGACTGATTAGGATAAACTGACTTAGAGGTAAACAGATATAGTTAGTGCAGCTAGTTTTCAGTTATCCATCCTAGTAGAATGGATAATTGTAATTTGTGAACGATCTCCCAACCCTTTATTATAGTTATTTTTAAAAATTTATCTTTATTGTTGAAAGTATTACAGATGTCCCCTTTTTCCCTACCCACACTTACCCCCTTCCCCGCCGCTCCTGTCTCCTCCCCAGGCCTTCACAACACTATTGTCTGTGTCCATCGGTTATGCACATATGCATAGAAATTCTTTGGCATAGTTATTTTATGAGAGGTAATATATAGCAAAGTTAAACTGACTTGCATTTTTAAACTTCATGAGTAGGTTATAATAGGTACTGAAATGGTAGAAAAAAAAGGCAGCAATAGAATATATAAGAATTGAAAGTACTGAGTTATCCATCAACTGGGTAATCAACCTCTGAGCAACTAAAAATTGGCTGTGATTTCATGCATTACTATTGGGCATTGTTTAGCTTTAACTTGTTTACTACTGATTGAATTAAAGTTTGAGGTGAAATGCTTTATATCTCATTTCTAAACTCATGACCTCATGAGATTCAGATATGATAAAACAACAATGAGAAGTTAAAAATCAAGGTTAGAAAAAAGTATATTTTTAACCTGTAATCTTCTAAAATGGAGAAAAGTAATTATAAGAATTTCAGGAATCAATATAAATTGATGTTTTATACCAAAGAAAACTTAAGACCGTGAGTACTGCTCTCCCACCATCACTATATAAATAAAAATAAATCGATAGGTCTAGAAACATAAGCTAGTAAAGACATCTAGCAACTAGTTTTGATACTAAAGGGATTGTTAAGTATTGTAATCCAGAAAATGTATGTAATTAACCATAAGAAATTATATTTTTAATTTAAAAATAAGTTTTCTTTTTAGTATTCAGATCTTTTATGTACTTCATTATTTCATTTTGAAAAATTAAGTGTTAAGCATGGATTTTACAATAACTCTGTGTGGTTTCTAGCTTGTAATGTAGGTAGTTTTAAAGGCCCTTTCCATTAAAAAATATGTAGTTCTATATTCAAATACTATTAACAGACTGTCAGACTGTATTTGGCCAATTTCCTATCTCCTGGATAATCTTTTAGCTCCTGCAGAAGGAGATGTAATCAAATGGTTTTGAAGTGGGTACTAAATATAGGATTTGTCTGAGCCAGTGCATATGGGATTTTGAAACTGAATCTGAAAAATTTGAACTTGAAGCTCAGTTTGGGGTATTAATGAAAATGTTACTTGACTGAAGTAGTGAAATTTTAGGAAATTCTTATATAGGGATAAAATTCAGGAACAAAGAAATTTTTGTGTCCTAGTGTTAGGGGCAAAAATAGAGTATGATGTTGGCTTTAAAAAGTAGTTAGAGTATTTTTACAGAGAAAGGAATAGAAATAATTAACTTGTCTAAGGACATGGTTTCTTTTTTCCACTTCTGGAATATCACTTCTCATTGAAGCTGTTCCTCAGTTTGGCTTTATGTCACTTAAGTCGGGTTTACATATAATTTTAAAGCAAGGAAGGACTTTAAAGTTCCTTTACAGATCTCCCTCATTCTTACATTTCTTGCAGTTTATTCATTGTAACACTGTAAATGATCTTATCTTTGTATCTTCAGTACCTGGCACAAATCCTAGCAGGTATTCGTCAATATTTGCTAAATTAGCTTAGATAACTTAATCTGCATTAATATTAGTATTTCAGAATATCATTAATAAGGTTTGATGGTTCTTAGTAATTTTAGCACTTAAATGTCACCAGTGACTTATTTTTTAACTTTTTTTCTCTAACCAGATTTGCATCTGCTGGTGATGATGGACTTGTAGTTGTGTGGAATGCCCAGGTGTGTATTGATTTTGTGTGGATTGTGTAATAAATATATGACTGTATAGTTGAGTATACATTCATAAACACTATCTGGGGATATATCTGCATATTAGTAGACACACTAATTAATACTTGAAAAGGCATACTTGGGAAGATTTCATTTAAATTGGGAGCCAATTTTTTTTTTTAATATATTTTATTGATTTTTTACAGAGAGGAAGGGAGAGGGACAGAGAGTTAGAAACATTAATGAGAGAGAAACATCAATCAGCTGCCTCCTGCACACTCCCTACTGGGGATGTGCCCGCAACCAAGGTACATGCCCTTGACCAGAATCGAACCTGGGACCCTTGAGTCCGCAGGCTGACGCTCTATCCACTGAGCCAAACCGATCAGGGCGGGAGCCAATATTTTATAATAGAAACTTTTTTAATGAAGATTTTTTCCTGAGAAACAAATACCAAGATGTGAAAATAAAATTTTAATCTTACCGAACAAAACTTACCAGCAACTATGTATGACTCTGAAGATGAATCAAGTGTTGATTTTTGTGGCAATTTTTCTTTCAAAGTGATGATTACATAATGTAACATGCTTCTCATGTTTGAATTTAATAGCAATATAATAAAAGGCTTATTTAAAAAATATTTAAAGCTTAACCAAATTTCTCTGAGACCTCTCTTCCTGATCCTTTGATACTCAGGTTACTCTCTTTTGAAGTATCTATCTTCTCTCATTGATCTGTCAGATCCTCATTTTTCAATGGCTTTGTCTGTGATTAAAGGACTTCTTTAACATGTTCCCTACATTCATGAAACCTTGTAACCTTGGAAAGATTTGTAATTTGTCATATTTACATTGTGTTTTATAGTATGTTTATTGGGAAGTCCATGAGAGTCTCATGGGTGGGAATAGCTGTTGCTATTAAATAGAGGTGGAGTGGAGGCTAACTTTATGAGTAGTTGATACATTATTGGATATAGATATATTTGTTGTTGTTATGCTGCCTTTTTTCCATTCCACAACTGTATGACTGTGGAGACTTAAATAACAAATACTTGGATAAGGAGCTGACTTTTTTTTCTTCCACAGCTTTATAACTGTGGGGACTTAAATAACAAATACTTGGATAAGAAGGACTATCTATTTTTTCCTACAGATTAAGTTACTGATATTTTTATGCTTAATTTATCCAATTATATTCTTAAAATCATATGGAAAGAATATTCCTTTAAATTTTATATGAAATATGCTAAAATTTGTATTATCTATCAGAAAATACTTAAAATTGTTTATGGCTAAGTAATTTCAAATAGAATGTATGCATTTTCTACATAGTGATTCTTCTTAGTGTTGTTAAAGTAATTTAAGTTGTGAAATAATGAACCTGTTAACATTTTCATTGGTATTTCAGACAGGAGAAAAACTTTTGGAACTCAATGGACACACTCAAAAGATAACAGCTATTATTACATTTCCTTCCTTGGAAGCATGTGAAGAAAAAAATCAGCTCATCTTGACAGCCTCTGCTGATAGAACAGTTATCATATCCTTTAGTCTGGAAGAGAGTGAAGTAACTATTGTGACCCAAGGTATAGTATATACATTATTAGTCTTTAGGTTCTTGGGGCCTGTTTGCACATTCCTCTTTTAGCAAAAATGATTTTGTTCTAGCTTTCATAAAACACTTCTTAAAAGCATTAGGCATCTGAAAAGTATTAGACTTGAAATAGTAGGTTAAGGTGTATTATTGATGGAAACCCCATGACTAAAACTGTTCTTTCTAGAGTTACTATTATATAAAATAGATGAAATGGAGAAAATGAGCTTAAAAATGCTTAGTATCTCAGTTTGCTTTTCAATTTAGGGAAATAAAGATCAGTTGGACTGGAAAATAATTTACTTTGGTTTTTTTTTCTCCTCATTATACAGCAAAAAATAGTTAATGGCCCCAACCCATAAGAACCTTTTGAGAACCCAGTCTGACAGAAAAGTGAATTGCCATTGGCTCAGTGTTTAATATTACTATTTAGTATTTAAAAATAAAATTTAAAAAGTATGTTACCTTTCTTTCCCCCTTACTTTTAGGTAAAGTTTAAAAATGTAATGGCATTTTATAAATGCTTACATGTGCCACACATTGTTCTGTTTTATATAAATCCATTTGATCCTTACAATAAGAATTTTTGTTCTCATTCACAGATATTAGAGGCAAAGAGGGGTTAAGTAACTTGTCCAAGGTTATGCAGCCAGTATAGGGCAGAAGGTAAGCAGTCTGACTGCAGGGCCGAGTTCTGAACCACTATATAAAAATACTGCCTTTTAAAATATTTTCCTTAGCCTGGCCAGTGTTGCTCAGTAGTTGAGCGTTGACCAATGAACCAGGAGGTCAAGGTTCGATTCCCTGTCAAGGCACGTGCCCAGGTTGCAGGCTCAATTCCCAGTAGGGGGCATGCAGGAGTCAGCCGATCAATGATTCTCTCTCATCATTGATCTCATTGATGTTTCTCTCCCTCCCTCTCCCTTCCTTTCTGAAATCAATAGAAATATATTTAAAAAATGTTTTCCATAAACAAATTTAGCCCTTTAATCTTTTTATGAGGAATTTGGATTTGTGAAGGCCATAGCCAAATGCTATGGATAACTGTAATCTCTCATGACCTTTTTTTTTTTAAGTTATCATAGATTACCTTTAAAAAGTCTATGCTCTTTGAAAATTCTGTTTAGCTTCAAGCATAGTGAAGTAAGTTTCACAGTAAGCTCAAAGGAGTCAGTGTTACTCGGGCTTCTGTAAAACATACACATACTTTATGAAACTTAAACAAGCTTCTCAGCTAAAGTGATTTCTAGACAGTTTGCCAATAGGTGAAAACATTTTAAGAAAAGATTTAAATGGTGATAAATTGTGAGGGGATTACAGTATTATGTAAACAAGGGCATAAAATTCGATGATTTTTAGGTCAGGTTAGCATTATTGCTACTGCTCTATTGAGGCAAATTATTTTATGGACTAAAGCTCTTTTTTCATTTGTTTTCAGTATCAATATAACCTCTGCAAAAGTAGAATTTAAAATGCTTTTTTATTAGATGATTTCTAAAGTACTTAGAGGCAATTATTAAAAATTACTGTTACAGTACAGTACAGAGATGAGTAGATGGGACAATATCAGTATAAACTGTACCTGTAAATGATGGTATAGACTCATTTCCTTTGCAGAATGACTTTGTTGAAAATAATTCTGGGGTGCTTTGCTGGCAGTTCTTTTACTCAGCTGAATTCTAAATTAACCCTTTGCGGTCGTTTGTCTACTCTCAGCCACCAAAGCTTTTTTACCGTTCCGGTCGTATGTCTGCTCTCAGCCACCACATTAAGGAACCGTACGAATCTTAACTCTATTCATTCATGTATCAGTTCATAATTTCTCTGAAAGCTCTTAAGTGTCTAAGCGACCTTGTCATGAACCAAAACATTGCCCCGACAAATCGGAGATATCGAAACTCAACATAAACAAACGCGGTCGTTCCACACTCACCATGCAAAACACCGTGGCGAGTCAGTCGCCTTTTGAGAGTGAAGAAATCAACAAGCTTCAGAGATACTTCGCAGAATTTCAAATAAAGCTTTACAAATTACGTTTAACTGTAATTAGGCATTCTCGCTTGTTAAGATATTTCAAAATAATACTCCAAAATGGCAAAAAGAAAGTTACCGAAAGAAGTGTACTGCGAATCTGAAAGTAACGATGAAGAGTTTTATTTTGGCACCTTGAATGCTGACTCTGACGTAGAAAGTGATAACGTTTGTAGTGATTCTACTAGTAGTGACGTAGTTCCAAAAAAGAATTAATAAATCTTGTTTATCCTTCATAATCTTGCATGTTATGTATCACTGCTCTTTCAATGGAAATTAATTCCGACCAGTACGACACCCATGTCCAAATTTAATACGACCGCAAAGGGTTAATTCAGCTTGGGCCTTCTCTATTAACTAAAACTTCATTAATTAAATGCTCAGTGTAGATTTAAAACAATTTTGTCAAGTGATAGTCTTAAAAGTTTGTATGTACATATATATATTTATACATACTATATATATATATATATATATATATATATATATATATTATGTGAATGTGTTTTCAGATATGATGTAACATGTGTATCTTACCATAGGAAATGGTGTGAAAAATTTGAAAATCATCATACTCCTTAGTTAAACTAACCTTGGACATTTTATGAGAGGTCCTCTAATTACTTTAAATATGTATACAGGTAATAGGAACACACTGTTACTATCTTTTTTTAACCAGGATAACAGTAGTTAATTATGTCATACACATTGAGAGAGCTTTCAGTCAATATGGTGGACTGTTTTGGAGAATAAACAAAATTTAAACAGTTGCAATATTTAATGTCTATAAAGATTCAGTTTTCAGACCATCCTTTCTGTTGGCATTTTCAAATAGTTTGACATTAAAATTTACCAGAAAATTATTTTAGGTTGTATGCCTACTGTGCTAAGTTGATGACTCAATATTTTATGCCTTATTTTCTACCTAAATGTGTGACATTTGTGACTTAATTATTGGAAAAGTTATAAGATTTGAAATGTTTAGAAATTGTTTCTTAACATAAATTTAGGTATGGAATTGTGATACTGGCAGGCAAGTTCAAAAAGTGTCATGCTTCCAGTCTACTGTAAAGGTAAGATCATAAGCTGATATTTTATGGTAAAATTTTTTTTGTCTGAGAAAAAACTGTCAAGTTAGTTTGATGAAATTACTTTTGTAGGTTTAAAAAATTATTTCTTCCTGCCCTAGCCAGTTTGGCTCTGTGGATAGAGCCTGTAATGATTCACATTGCAATAAAAGCCCTTATAAAGTACTTTTAGTCGGCCTGTGGACTAAAGACTCCCAGGTTAGATTCTGGCCAAGGGCACAGGCCCGGGCTGTGGGCTCGATTTCTCCCCCAGTAGGGGATGTGCAGGAGGCAGCCAATCAATGATTCTGCCTCATCATTGATGTTTCTATCTATCTCTTTCCCTTACTCTCTGAAATCTATTAAAAATATTTAAAAATATTATTTCTTCCACACATAGTTACAGTTATTTTATTCTTCTAAGATTAGGTTTTTGGAAGTATATATTTCAAATGCTAGAATGTTTGAATTTGAACTTACAGCAAGCAATAAATCTCTATAGCAAGATAAGGAAAAAGGTAATACCTAGTATGTTTCTAGAAAGTAATTACAAAAAAAGGCAATCCTTGCAGAATGACCCTATAGTAGTAGTAAGTATGTTTCTTTACTTTGAAATAAAAACATGGAATCATTTGTCCGTCACACTCTGCCTTCTATAAAGTCATAAAGATAAGATATGTTTACAATAGCCAAGATCTGGAAACATCTCAGGTGACCATTAGTAGATGAGTGGATAAAAAGATGTCCATTTACACAATGTAATACTATGCAGCTGTAAAAAAGAAGGAACTCTTAACCTTTGTGACAGAATGGATGATGGACCTGGGAACTTATTATGCTAATTGAATAAGCCAGCCAGAGAAAGACAAGTATCACATGATCTCACTTATATGTAGAATCTAATGAAAAAAATAAACTGACAAACAAGATAGGACCAGAGGCATGGATATATAGAACAGACAACAGACTGACAGATCTCAGAAGGGAGGTGGGTGGGAAGACTGGAAGAGATTAACCAAAGAACATATATGCTTATGTGTGTATAACCCATGGACACAGACAGTAATGTGGTGATGACCTGGTTGGGGTGGAGGGGGGACCTGAGTGGAGGGAAGCAAAAAGATAGGGAAAGGGGGACATCTGTAATAGTGTCAATAGTAAAGAGAAATAATTAGTAGGATAAATTATTCCTAAAAAAAATGTCAGTTACTTAGTTCCAAAACAAAATGTTATGGGGCTAATTGGTTGCTACTGTTAGGTTCATTCATTTTACAAGTATTAATTGGGGCTTATTACATGAAAGGAACTCTGCTACATGTTGGAGAAACAAACTTGGATAACACTTGGTTACTTTGATTCCTACAGAAGAAATTAACCTTAAATGTTCTCACAAAGGTGTCTTTCAATAATGTGAGCAAGTTTGGAGAAAGATGCTAGTAAAATGAGATAATGTTTCCTCTTGCTTTAAAGATAACTGATCTCTAAATTGGAGCCAATACTTAAGAAAAAGAATTGCTGTGTGCCAATTGTCATTATATTCCTGAAAGGCAGCATCTCTGGTAGCCATCTCATGCTACTATGCTCTTCTAATTATCAATTTAGTAAAGTTTATGGGGAAGAAAGTGCCATTTACTGTATGCTTGTATCCAATTTAACAATGTACTGTCTTTGAAGAAGCCATTTAAGTATTGATTTGATCATATCTCTATGCTTTATGTGATCTGAAAGACACCTCTTTTAAATTCCTTAAAAAATACTCTTGTTTTCTGTCTGAGCTCATTAGGTTTCAGATGAAACACCTGAATTGAAGGAACAGGGAAAGAAAAAATTTAGTGTACTGGAGAAATTTCTTTGGTGAGCTGTTTTATGAACTGTTTAATGAAAAGTGCCTAATTCCAGTATGGTCAAAGTACTTTATAAGGGCTTTTACCGTAATGTGAATCAGCTAGACCAGCCGTGGGCAAACTACAGCCCGCGGGCCGGATGCGGCCCGTTTGAAATGAATAAAACTAAAAAAAAAACAGACCGTACCCTTTTATGTAATGATGTTTACTTTGAATTTATATTAGTTCACACAAACACTCCATCCATGCTTTTGTTCCGGCCCTCCGGTCCAGTTTAAGAACCCATTGTGGCCCTCGAGTCAAAAAGTTTGCCCACCCCTGTGCTAGACAGTTGTATTTACTCCTGCTATGAGTTTCACATTAAAAATCATTAAAAATAGCATTTTACTCACTTTAGTTCAGTGGTTAAAATTGTTTTTGAGCATGCTTTATTAAAGAAATTAGGATCCCTAATAAATATAAGAAATACTGTTTATTTTTTGAACTAGTAAAGTTTTTATACAGGTTGATATTAGCAAGGAGATGGTGAAATTGTCATTTGAATTGCTGTTGAGAGTATAAATTGATATGATCTTCTGGAAGGTAGTTTGTCATTATGAATGAATCTTAAAAAAAAGATTACATTAATTGACTCAGTGATTCAACTTCTAGAAAACTCTTTAAAGAAAATAATAAACATGGGCAGAGATTTATGAACAGAAATGTATATTGCAAATATATTTTGTAGATGGATGATTGGCAGTATCCTAATGTCTTTTAGGAAAGTAGTTAAATTATGGTAGATACATATGCTAAAAATGATATTTCAGAAGAATACACAAAGAGTTTGGAAAATTCTAATAAGATGTTAAGTAACAAAAGCAGTAAATGAAAACTAAACCTAGTAATGAATAAAAAGGGTTATATACCATGACCAAGTATTTATCATAGAATATGAGTTTAGTTTAACATTTGAACATTTAATCAATGTAATACACCATAGTAAGAATAAAAGACAAAAAAAATGATCATCTCAATAGATGCAGAGAAAGCATTTGACAGACTCCAAACCTCAATAAACTAGGAATAGGTGAGAACTTCCTCAACCTAAGGAAGGGCATCTATGAAAGCCCCACAGCTAACACTGTGTTAATGGGGAATGACTGACTGAATACTTTCCCCCTGAGATCAGGAACAAACAAGGATGTCTACTCTTGGCATTTCTATTTAATGTTGTACTGGAGGTTCTGAACCAGGGCAATTAGACAATAAAAGAGAAAAGGCATCCACATTGGAAAGGAATACATAAAACTATGTAGAAAAAATAGCTATATAGAAAATTCTATATCCACAACAAAACTATTAGAGCTAAAAATGGATTTAGCAAAGTTTTAGGATACAATTCAGTATACAAAATTAATTGTATTTCTATATACTAGCAGTGAACATTCAAAAATAAAATTGAGAAAACAATTCATTTACAGTAGCATCCAAAAGAATAATATGCTTAGAAATAAATTTAAAGAAGTAATAGGTGACTTGTACACCAAAAGCTACAAAACATTGTTGAAAGACACTAAAGAAAATCTAAGTAAATGAAAAGACATCCCATATTCATGGATCAGATTTAATATGGTTAAGATTGCAGTACTACCCTGTCTACATATTGGATACAATCTCTACCAAAATCTCAACAGGCTGTTTTTTCCCTACGTTCTTGTTCTTGTTTTGCAGAAATTGATGTAGAAGTGCAGGGGACCCTAGCATAGCTAGAACAATCTTGCAAAGAAATAACAAAGTTGCAAGATGCAAGCTTCCCAATTTGAAAATTTACTAGAAAACTATAGTAATCAAGACAGTGTGGTACTGGCATAAGAATAGATATACAGATCAATGGAATAGACTTAGTTGCTTAAAACAAATATCTCACAGAGTTTGTAGTCAGGAATAGAGAGCAGCTTAGCTGGATAGTTCTGGCTCAGTGTTTCATGAGGTTGTCATCTGAAGGCTTGACTGGATTTGGAGGTTCCTAGGGGACTCACATGCTTGGGAAGTGTTGGTGGTTGTACAGAGGCTTCACTTTCTTGTCGGGGGGGGGGAGGGGGTCTTTCTCCATGTGGCTGCTTATGTGTGTTTGCCCTAGAGAGAGTGACTTAAGAGAGGAGCAAGGAGGAAACCACCATTTGTCTTATCCATATAATAAAAGGGTAATATGCAAATTGACCCTAACAGCAGAACAACTGGGAATGATTGGTCACTATGACACACACTCACCACCAGGGGGCAGATGCTCAATGCAGGAGCTGCCCCCTGGTGGTCAGTGCGCTCCCACAGGGGGAGCTCTGCTCAGCCACAAGCCAGACTGCCTGCTGCCAGCACAGCGGTGGTGGCGGGAGCCTCTCCTGCCTCCTCAGCAGCGCTAAGGATGCCCGACTGCAGCTTAGACCTGCTCCCCGCTGGCAAGTGGACATCCCCCGAGGGCTCCCGGGCTGCCAGAGGGATGTCTGACTGCCAGCTTAGGCCCACTCCCCTGGGGAGCGGGCCTAAGCCAGCAGGTGGACATCCCCCGAGGGGTCCCAGACTGCAGGAGGGTACAGGCTGGGCTGAGGGACCCTCCCCCCCCCAAGTGCACAAATTTTTGTGCACCGGGCCTCTAGTGTCTTTATAAGTCACACACTATCCTTTCTGCCACATTCTATTCATTAGACGCTATTCACTTAGTAGAGCTCACATTCAAGGGCAGGGTAGTTAGGCTTCACCTCTTGAAGGAAAGGGTATCAAAGAATTTAGAACATATTGTAAAACCACCAATGAATGCATGAACTGCTAAACTTACGTATATTTCTCATAAATTTTGCAGTGTTTAACTGTTCTTCAGAGACTAGATGTTTGGCTCTCTGGTGGGAATGACCTATGTGTGTGGAACCGAAAATTAGATCTCCTATGTAAGACTAGTCACCTTTCTGATACAGGTAAAAAACAAATCAAGGTAATTGTGAACCATGAGTGACAGACTCTAAAAGACACAGAATCTTCAAAGAGACTTTCCCTGTACAAAGGGGAGGGGGAGGGTACTTTTCTTTGCAGTTCTGAATATACTGGTAAAATGTAGCCATAGTCTCCAGGTTGGTTAAGGGTTGTGTAAAATATATTTTCATCAAATTGGAAGGAAAAGATTCCCCTCCTTTTGGATTCCTTATCCCTCCTAACAGAATTTCTCAAAGTGGTCAAGAAAAACCTTTTAATATAAGATCATCAAACTCTAAATGGAGTTTGATGAGCATGTTGATACCTGAAAGCACTTTTATGGCTTTACAATAGCACTTTTTAAAAATATTTTTGATCACTTGTCTTTCAATAGATTTCTTAGGATGACCTCATTTTACATTTGGTTTTACTAAAAAGTTTATTCATGAGCAAACTTACTAACAAAATTCTATTTTCTCAGAATTCTGTTAATAGACAATTTTTTGTCTTAACAGAAAAAAAATCAATTTTGACTTCTATAGATACCAAGGATTTTAAAGAATAAAATTAAAATTTATTCAGAGTAAAAACATCCTATCTAATAAAAGAGAAACATGGTAATTGGTGTACGACCGCTACCCTTCCCATTGGCTAATCAGCGAGATATGCAAATTAACTGCCAGCCAAGATGGCAGCCAGAAACCAGGCAGCTTAAACTGAACATGAGGCTTGCTTGCTTCAGTGACGGAGGACTGCAACGTTCCCCGCCTGCGTTGCCGGCCTCTGAGCCTGCAGTTTAAAAAACATTGTAACAAATATAGGAGCTAAACAAAACCCCAGAAACCTGCTTTCAGCCAGCCGGGATCTCAGAGCTGGTGTTGATACAGAGTTTCAATTATAGAACCGAAACAAACCAGATACCTGTTTTCAGCAGCTGAAGCCTCAGAGCTGGAGCCAAGCCTCAGAGCTAAAGCTGGCCCAGAATAAAAAAGAAAAAAAAAAGAAAAAAAGGAGCAGTTGGGAGCTTCAGTCCCAGCCTGAAAACAGCCCTCAGCCCCTCACCCAGACTGGCCAGGCACCCCAGTGGGGACCCCCACCCTGAAGGCTGTGTGACCAGCTGCAAACAGCCATCATCCCCTCACCCAGGCTGGCCAGGCACCCCAGTGGGGACCCCCACCCTGATCCGGGACACCCTTCAGGGCAAACCAGCCAGCCCCCACCCATGCACCAGGCCTCTATCCTGTATAGTAAAAGGGTAATATGCCTCCCAGCACCAGGATCAGTGGAGCCGAGAGGCCTCCCGGCACCGGGATCAGCGTGACGGGGCAGTGCCCAAACCCCCTGATCGCCCTGCGGCTCTGTGTGTGACAGGGGTGGGGCCACAACCTCCCTATCGGCCCTGCTCTGTTCGTGACGGGAAGGCGCCCCAACCCCCTGATCGGCCCTGCTCTGTGCCTGATAGGGGGGAGCTCCCAACCCCTTGATCACCCTGCGGCTCTGTGTGTGACAGGGTGTGGCGCCCCAACCCCCCCACCCCATGGGCCTGCTCTGTGTGTGATGGGGTAGAGCCATAACCTCCCCATCCGCCCTGCCCTGAGTGTGAGAGTGGCGGCGCCCCAACCCCCTGATTGGCCCTTCTCTGTACGTGACAGGGGGGAGCTCCCCAACCCCCAGATCGGCCCTGCTCTGTGCGTGACAGGGGGCAGCACCCCAACCCCCTGATTGGCCCTGCTCTGTGCGTGACGGGGTGGCGCCACAACCTCCCCATCGACCCTGCCTTGAGTGTGACAGGGGGCGGTGCCCCAACCCCCCAATTGGCCCTACCCTGAGCGTGACTGAGGGTGGCATCGCAACCTCCCAATCCGCCCTGCTCTGTGCATGACAGGGGGCGGCACCCCAACTCCCCAATCGGCCCTGCTCTGAGCCCGACCAGGGGCTGCACCTAGGGATTGGGCCTGCCCTCTGCCACCCAGGAGCAGGCCTAAGCCAGCAGGTCGTTATCTCCCGAGGGGTCCCAGACTGCGAGAGGGCACAGACCGGGCTGAGGTACCCCCCTTCCCCACCGAGTGCACAAATTTTTGTGCACCGGGCCTCTAGTTTAAGTATAAATGAGTAAATGACAGTAACCATAAAGTTATGTGATACACTATTAACTATTTTTGTTCTAAAGGTAATCAAATGAGCCCATGGAATATTATTAATTATTGACATCTTAAAGGTAGTAGTAGCTCCGTGAATTGAATAGATAGTTCATAATTGGAAATAGCTTATTTCTACATAGATATTATAAAATAGCATGAAAATTATGTGATATATTAGCAAAATTCAATCCATACCTTATTAGGATTTACAATTTAACCTTTCAAGTCAACATTGGACCACTAGTAATCTTGTTTGAATCTAGAGTGCATATTAATGTTTACTATTATCATGAATTATATCTATTTACATGTACATATTTCTTTCATTAGCCTGTGGTCATATGTGAATTTTACTCCATGAATAATTAGTACAGACATACCTTGGAGATAGTGCAGGTTTGATTCCAAACCACCCCCCGTAAAGCGAATATTTCAATAAAGTGAGTCATGATTTTTTTGGTTTCCTAGTACATATTACAGTTACACTATACTGTAGTCCAGGGGTCCTCAAACTACGGCCCGCGGGCCACATGCAAATACAAATATTGTATTTGTTCCCGTTTTGTTTTTTTACTTCAAAATAAGATATGTGCAGTGTGCATAGGAATTTGTTCATAGTATTTTTTTAAGCTATAGTCCGGCCCTCCAACGGTCTGAGGGCCAGTGAACTGGCCCCCTGTTTAAAAAGTTTGAGGACCCCTGCTGTAGTCTATTAAGTGTACTATAGCAGTCTGTCTAAAAAATGTATTTAACTTAATTAAAAATATTTTATTGGTAAAAAATGCTAAGCATCATCTAGGTTGGGGTGGCTGTGGCAATTTTTAAAAATAAGACAGTGAAATTTGCCTCACCAATGGACTCATTTTGTGAATGATTTCTCTGTAGCACATGATGCTGTTTGATAGCATTTTATTTACAGTAGAATCTCTTTCAGAATTGGAGTCAATCCTCTCAAGTTCTGCCAACACTTTATCATCTAAGTTTATGTAATATTTTAAATTTTTTGTGGTTATTCAACAGTCTTCACAACATTTTCACCAGGAGTAGATTCCATCTCAAGAAACCACTTTTTTTTTTTTTCCTGATCCATAAGAAACAACTCATCTGTTTAAGTCTTATCATGAGATTCAGCAATTCATTCACATCTTCAGGCTCCACTTCTAATTCTAGATCTCTTGTAATTTCTGCCACATCTGTAGTTACTTCCTCCACTGAAGTCTTGAACCACTCAGTCGTCTATGAGGGTTGGAATCAGCTTCTCCCAAACTCCTGTTAATGTTGATATTTTTTTTTTTTTAAATATATTTTATTGATTTTTTACAGAGAGGAAGGGAGAGGGATAGAGAGTTAGAAACATCGATGAGAGAGAAACATCCATCAGCTGCCTCCAGCACGCCCCCTACTGGGGATGTGCCCGCAACCAAAGTACATGCCCTTGACTGGAATCGAACCTGGGACCCTTCAGTCTGCAGGCCGACGCTCTATCCACTGAGCCAAACCGGTTAGGGCAATGTTGATATTTTGACCTCTTCCCATGAATCATGAATATTGTTAGTGGCACCTAGAATGGTGCATCCTTTCCAGAAGATTTTCAGTTATTTTGCTCAGATCCATAAGAGGAATTACTAACTACGGCAGCTCTAGTCTTAACAAAATGTATTTCTTAACTTATAAGATTTGAAAGTCCAAATTACTCCTTGATCCATGGGCTACAGAATGGATGTTGTGTTAGCAGCCATGAAAACAAGATTAATCTTGTACATCTTCCATCAGAGTTCTTGGTTGCCAGGTGCATTGTCAATGAGCATTTATATTTTTTCTAGGTCTCAACAGTGGGCTTAGAATATTCAGTAAACCATGTGGTAAATAGATATGCTGTCATCCAGACTTTGTTGTTCCATTTATGGAGCACTAGCAGAGTAGATTTAGTATAATTCTTAAGGGCCCTAGAATTTTCAGAATGGCAAATGAGCTATGGCTTCAACTTCAACTAACTCATCAGCTGCATTAGTACCTAACAAGAGACTCAGCCAGTTCCTCTCTAGCCATGAAAGTACTAGATGCATCTTCCGAAAGAGGCTGTTTCATCTGCATTGCAAATCTGTTGTTTAGTAACCACCTTTTTAGCTAGATCTTCTGGATAACTTGCTGCAGCTTCTACATTAGCACTTGTTGCTTCACCTTGCATTAAAAAAATTTTTTTTATTGATTTCAGAGAGGAAGGGAGGGGGGAGAGAGAGAGAAACATCAATGATGAGAGAATCATTGATCGGCTGCCTCTGGGGATCAAGCCTGCAACCTGGGCATGTGCCCTGACAGGGAGTTGAACCATTACCTCCTGGTACATAGGTCAACGCTCAACCACTGAGCCATGACAGCTGGTCATACTTCTGTTTCTATTATTTTATAAAATTATTTATAAAAAATTTTTAGCAAAGTTTTCCACATCTAGAATTCTTTTCTTCCTAACCTTCCCTGTGCTCTCCTGTCCCTTTTACTTTTTAATATTGTACTGCTAATTCCTTCCTTTTGCCCTCCTCTAGAATCACTTCTTCTTCCTTATACTTGGGAAGTGCATAAAATACTGTTAAACCTATGTGGAGAAAAGATTTTAGAGACTTACTCCCCAAACTACAAGAGTCTTTTGATGGCTGAGAGAGTAAAGTAAAGGAGTATAATATTTTCCAAATTTGAATATATGTTATAAATTACTTTTATATAAGTTATATATATTTCATACTGGAAAAATTAACTTTAATAGTTTTTGTACCTGCACATGTGGTGATTCTGAATTTAATACTTCAATTCTTTAAGTCTTACTAACAAAAGTAATAATTATTACATATGTTATAGAAATTAGCATATGTTATAGAAGTTATAGTTACACTATAAAAAGTTACTGAGAACTCTATATTTAAATAAATAAGTGAGCCTGGCCAGTGTGGCTCAGTGGTTGAGTGTCGACCTATGAACCAGGAAGTCACGGTTCGATTGCCGGTCAGGGCACATGCCTGGTTGCGGGCTCAATCCCCAGTGCGGGGCATGCAAGATGCAGCTGATCAATGATTCTCTATCATCATTGATGTTTCTATCTCTCTCCCTCTTTCTTCCTCTCTGAAATCAATAAAAATATATTTTTTAAAAATATAAACAAGTGAAAGATGTTGAATTGTTGAATCTAATTAATTTTGTAAATATTAATTAATTAAAAACATGTTATTTAAAAGCCCCTTTCTGCCCTGGCTGGTTTTGCCCAGTGGATAGAGCGTCGGCCTGCAGGCTGAAAGGTCCCAGGTTTGGTTCCGGTCAAGGGCATGTACCTTGGTTGTGGGCACATCCCCAGTAGGAGGTGTGCAGGAGGCAGCTGATCGATGTTCCTCTCTCATCGATGTTTCTAACTCTATCTCTCTCCCTTCCTCTCTGTAAAAAATCCATAAAATATATTAAATAAATAAATAAATAAATAAATAAATAAATAAATAAATAAATAAATAAAAGCATAAAAGCCCCTTTCTTAGCTGTTGACTACTGGCTAACTCATTTACTGCCAGGGAACCCACTCAGGATTCTTTTTTTTTTTTTAAATATATTTTATTGATTTTTTTTACAGAGAGGAAGGGAGAGGGATAGAGACTTAGAAACATCGATGAGCGAGAAACATCAATCAGCTGCCTCCTGCACCCCCCCCCCCCCCCCCCCCCATCGAGGATGTGCCCGCAACCAAGGTACATGTCCCTGACCGGAATCGAACCTGGGACCCTTCAGTCCGCAGGCTGATGCTCTATCCCCTGAGCCAAACTGGTTAGGGCCCCACTCAGGATTCTTAAATTTAAAGTAAGGAAAATGCCAATTTTATATCTCCTTTGAGCTAGGTGTATTGTAAATGGTGAGGGTGATTATCTTAAGGGATCCCTGGTAAATAAGTTTATCATAATGTTCAAAGAGTATATCCTACCCTTACTAGATCAATAGTCTTCCAAAGGCCTCACCCGTTTTTCACAAAATCATTTTCTGTGTATAAGCAAGCAAGTGTGATATAGAAAATTGTGTGTGCTTTTTTGTGACCACTCCCTTTATTGTAAATGACTGACATAAAACTGAGAATGCTTTTGTTTTTTATGTAACCATAAAGAAAATAATTTTACCTTTGTTTTATATTTTTGAAGGGATCAGTGCTTTGATTGAAATACCTAAGAACTGTGTTGTGGCAGCAGTTGGCAAAGAATTGAGTGAGTATGACTCTTTTTTTCTTCTATTTTCAAAAAATTTTAAACTAGAACTTATATACACATTTTAGAAAGACTAGTTAATATTTCATTTAAGGAACATCTGCCCCTGCCCCAGTCTTGGTCTCCTGGGATTGTTGAAGTGATATGGAGACCTAGACATTTTCATGATATTAAGTCAATTTTTGTCCTACCCTTGTCCTAACATAGCCAGGTGGGGCAGCTAACCTCATTCCTCTTATGCCAGAGAAGACCCATAGTCCTCTCTGTTGCTGATCTGTACACATACACTTATTTGACAAAAAAATAAAAAATAAAAAAAAACGACCACATAAAACAACTGTCAACATTTTGGCAACTAAAAACTTGGGAGGGTCAAAGGAGGATTTGGGGAATTTACTAAGGTAGGAACTGTGGAGTTTTTGCCTCAGGAAGCCAGAATGGGGCCCATTATCTTTGGGGCAGTTTATGCCATTTCCCTTAGAGTAGTAGAATAGCAGAGGAAGGGGTAGGTAGCAGAGGCCTTTTGTAAATGTATTAATTATGAACATCTGAAGGCCACTTTCTTAGCTTTTGACTATTAGTTAACTCATTTACTATCAGGGAGCCTACAGTGAAGAAAGCCTTTTGTGCTCACTGCTTTGCGAATGGAATTTGGGTGCCAGAATTGATAGAGTAAACATGCTTCTTAAAAGCTGCTTCTTTCTTGCCATTCGGTATTGCTTGTGCTACTTCTTCCAGAGACCAGCCCTGAAATTTGCTGTGACTACCAGTTGGCATGTTTGCAAAACCCAATGAGACGTGAACTCAGTAGTTCTCAAACTTGAGTGTGCATTAGAATGACCTGAAGGGCTTATTACAAACACAAATTACTGGGCTTTACCTCCCAGAGTAATTCAATAAGTCTAGACTGGGGCCTGAGCTCTGTATTTCTAACAGGTTCCCTTCTCACTTGTGGTGTTCTCCTCAGGCTCTCATTACCTTTCTTAACTACGAATGTTGCATTAAGTCTCCTACTTACCTTTCTTCCTCTACTTTAGTGCTTGTCAATGCCTTCTGATCCTCTGGTTTAGCGCTTCTCATATATATATTCTTCAGTAGATGCTAGAAGGATCTATCTAAAATGCAGACCATTCTCCTGCTTAAAGGCTTTGGTGGCTTCCTATTGCCTACAGCAGTCATTTCTAGGCTCAAATTTCTGACTAGTACAAAAGTTTAGATTTTTAGAGCTCAACATAGAGTTGCAGATTTTTATTTTGCTTAGTAAAACTAATAAACAACAAAAAAAGCTATCATTTACCACTTTCATTTTGTAGAAATTACTTTTTAACAACAAAGTATGAAGAACATGATCTCAGAAAGAAGTAATAGGACTTTAAATTGAATATATTTACTTTCATGTGGCCCTTATTTTTTCTTATTTTTGCCCCAGATGAATAAAATTTTTGCCCCAGAGCAGCAGTTGCCAACCTTTCGGACCTCACAGACCACCAGTTGGCGACTGCTGCCCTAGAGGACCAGTGTAAGTTCATCACTACCCTGCAGGATAAAGTGCAAAGTTTTCAACGTATCAAATCAGGCCCTCCAGCACCTTTCTCCTCCTATATCGCTGGCTTGTCAACACTGAATTGCCTGGGATTCCCCCACCTAAGGTGTTTCTCACCTTTATGCCTTTATTTCTGCTGTCACTCTGTATCAGGTTTATCCTCCTGCTCATTGTCCTCTTTGATCCGGCTAATTCCTACTTACTCTTTAAGAGCTCAGCTCCAGTATCTTTTGAGGAAGAAGGCTTGCTTACTTAATACCACCTCCCCTCCCAGAAGTGTTTCCACTGTGTTGTCATAATCTCACATCTATCATTTCATTTACTACTTTAAAAAAAGACTTCTGTTTACTTTTGGTTCTCTCCTTGCCCTCCTTTTCAGAATATGAGCTACTTGGAGACTGGAACTTTCTTATTCATCTTTCTGTTAACAGATAAGAAATTTTTATTGAATGGATGAATGAATTAGTGAATTCATTAAAACACTACTAAAAGCAACATTAATGCTTCAACTGAAGTTAGAGTATCATCTAAAAAAAGAAGTGAAAGTTGATTTTATTCAGAAAGTAATTTATAAAAATACATAATATTCTTTAAAATGAGGTTCTGCATTTTATTTAATTTTGTCATAAAATAAATATATAGTGCTATTTTTTCTTATGGAAAAATAAATTTCATTCCTGTAAATGGGGTATCTTTTCTATTTCCAAGACCAAGCTTGTACCTATATACTTGGTTTTCAGTGTTCTATTTCAGTTTCTCTCTTTCTGTGTGAAGGTTCCTTTCAACAGGAAGTATAAGTTCTGTGTGCACCAGCTTCAGTGACTTTGAAGCTTTACTGGCTATCAGCGCTGAGACCTCATCCTGGCTCAGAAGTCTAGGATATTTTTCCTAACTAATTTTTTAGAATTTATTATTGCTTCTCTTTTGTTCTCTGATTTGTTTTATTTTTTTGAATTTATTACTTGTCTATAGAGGCCATATTTATGCTCACTAAACAGTTTCATGTTATCTTAGTACTTTGTAGTTCTTTGTAGAGCCCTACTTTATAGTTTTCTTCTTTTTGTCAGTATTTCAGGTTATTATATGTTAGTTTGAGTAGACAATATATTGCTTTTTATTCCACAATCCCAATCTCAAGATCATTTGGTAGGATTTCAACTGAAATAGAATGTACATATAACTCTGATAGGTATGAGGAAGAATTCCCTTTGTGTTGACTGAAATACCTTTTTATTTCAACAGCCACAGTTAGAAGGTAAATGGCTGCCAGTATTAAATAACCTTGCTAGAGATTTGTAGCTGGTAAAAATTGTCTAGAGACAGAATGAAATGTGGCACTATTTTCCAGGGAGGAATGTGAGAAAGAAGAGAGATTAATAGTTAGCCACCACTTGGAAAGGATATGATCTCTGAGACATCCCCACTTCTAAGATATGAGTCATCTTAATCTGTGAGCATCTACAACATTGGGTAGAGTGGTGTATTGTAGCATTTAATACATCTATTATAAGCTTGTTTATAGGTCTCCCTACCACTGTAGACTATGAGTGGTTCAGGGCAGTGACTAGGCCTTATTCACATTAGAGATCTAATTTCCTGGAACATAGTAGATGTTTAGTAAATGCTTGTTGATTGAATCACTCTAGTTTATTTGATTTAGGGTTTGCTGTATTGATTAAAGTTAGGATTCACATTAGTTTAAATAAAACTATTTGTTAAAGTCAGATAACAAGTAAAGTAACCCATTGAAAATCTGTAGTCAAAAGAATTGTATGCCACACAAAAATTATAGGCATATTATCCTCAGAGTTTATAATTTAACTAGAGTCCCAGTGCATGGATTTGTGCACTGGTGGGGTCCCTCAGCCTGGCCTGCAGGGATCAGTGGACCTCTGTGCTACCACAGCCCAGCCTTACCCGCCAGCTCATCGGGCTCCAGCTCACTGCGTCAATCCCGCGCAGCAAGTAGTGTGTGAAGTGGCAGGCAGCTGGGGAGGGGCCCAAGCCCACGTTGGGCGCTGCACTGCTCTCACTCATCCCGGCGCCACTGCACCTGCCGCTGCTGCTTGGGCGCGCAGGGGGAATGTCTGCAGGAGAGGCTTGCACTGCTGCAGCTGCACTCTGCACTCACCAGCTGTCAGCCTGGCATCTGGTGCCTGTCAGCTGAGCAGTGCTCCTGCTGTGGGAGCACACTGACCACCAGAGGGCAGCTCCTGTGTTAAGCATCTGCTCCCTGGTGGTCAGTGTGCATCGCAGCAACTGGTTGTTCTGCTGTTTGGTCAATTTACATATTCTGCTTTTATTATATAGGACTAGAGGCCCGGTGCACAAAAATTTGTGCACTGGGGGGTGGGGGGTGGGTCCCTCAGCCCAGCCTGCGCCCATTTTCAGTCCGGGACCCCTTGGGGGATGTCCACCTGTCGACTTAGGCCCACTCCCCAGGGATCAGGCCTAAGCTTGCAGTCAGACATCCTTCTGGCAGCCAGGGAGCCCTCGGGGGATGTCCGACTAAAGGCTTAGGCCCCCAAGGGAGCTGTGATGAGGAAGCTGGGGTGACAGAGGAGCCACGCTGTCCCGCCCCGCTGCCCTGGGTCGGGTCGCACACGGGACGCCCGGGCGGGCCAGCCAACCGCTGCTGCCCCGCCCGGCCGCCCCGGTTCGGGTCACACACGGGATGCCTGGATGGCGGCCAGGCGGGCTGGCCAATCCCTGCTGCACCACCCGGCCGCCCCGGGTTGGGTCGCACACGGGATGCCTGCTGCCCTGGGTCACAGATAGCAGGCCCGGATGGCAGCAGGGCAGGCGGGATGGCACTGTCCCGCCCTACCGCCCCGGGTGGCAAATAGCAGGCCCAGATGGCGGCGGGGCAGGCGGGATGGCGCTGACCCGCCCTGCCTGCAGTATGCAAATTAGCCGCCATCTTTGTTGGTGGTTAATTTGCATATCGTGCTGATTGGCCAATGGGAGGTGTAGCGAAGGTATGGTCAATTACCATGTTTGTCTATTATTTATTATATAGGATGGTGTATGCCTAGGTATCAAGAAAACTTTAAAAATATAAAAGCAACTGCTGAAGTCTTCTCTGAGTTTAAGTTAAACATAAATTTGTAGCTTGTTTTGTAGCAATGCTTTCTGGCCTGGGAACATGAGTACAGAAAGCTGATGGTGGAGATGATTCACTGATGTGGGCCAGTCAATAGCTAGGTAGAGAGTGAGGCAGGATAGCCCGACTGCAGTGGAGCCCTGGAAAGGATTGGGGTAGTGGAATTAGAAGAGTTTTGATAAAGGAACAGACTTCTAAGCACACACTCACTTGGGATTTTAGTAGATCATTTCAAACATCTCAAGCATTTGAAAGAAATATTTTAAAGTAGGATGAATAAGGCTCCCTTTGGAGATAGGTTTTCAATATTTTCAGTATTAGACATTTCTAACTTAATGAAATACTGGTGTTTTGAGCAGAAATATAATTTTATCTTTGACTATTGTAATAAAATTATATCTCTCTTTTCATGTAGTAATTTTCAGGTTGGTAGCACCCATAGAAGGATCACTAGAATGGGATATTCTTGAAGTTAAGCGCCTCCTTGATCATCAGGATAATATTCTCTCATTGGCTAATATCAATGGTAAGCTGAATGTGTATATGCTTATATTATGTAAAATTTTATACTTGTTAACATAATCTGTTATGAGCTTCAGTCTTGTTTTGTTCTAGGATTTCTCTAATTATCTTCATTGAAATAATTTTGATTAGTAGGGATTGGCAGTCTTTTATATGTGAAATTCAAGGCAGTGGAACTAATGAAGTTTCCTAGATTGGTAGGGTTAGATTTAGGCACAAGGAGAATAAAGTGAGGAGAGAGAAGAGATGGAGGAGAGCATCATTATCATGGGCTCTGTGGGATGATTGTCATAGGCTGTAAATACTAATGCTTAGTAGCATTTTGGAATTTTTGGCAAATGGTCCTGGCTAGTCCCAGTTTTGTAGACCACACAGTATGATTTATATAGCAAGTTACATACTTACAGTTGAATGAGCAGGATTTAAGGCAATTGTTTTCATGATTGAAGACTATCAGAAAATAACACCAAACTAAGGTAAAGGTCTGCAGAAAATGGGTCATATCTGTTCTTCCTCATGATTGTGAATTTTGACTTGCTAGACTCCTATTTAGCTTCATAATAATTTTTAAAAATATTTTGTATTGATTTTTTTTTAGAGCGAGGATGGGAGAGGGAGAAAAAAAGAGGAGGGAGGGATGTGAGAGGGAGAGAGAGAGAGGGAGAGAGAGAGAAAGAGAGAGAGAAACATTAATGTGAGAGAGAAACATTGATCAGTTGCCTCCCGTGCATAACCAGACAGGGGACTGAACTCGCAACCTGGGCATGACCTTTTGGTGCATGGGACGACTCAACCAACCAGGGAAACTTCATAATGATTATAATGAGTATGTTCTGTAAGCCCAGTCTGACATCAGACGGCAGGATAGGATCCCAATAAACAAATCCTGGCATTTACCTAGTTCACTTTCAAATAAAGTGGCATATCATCAGTTATTCTGGGTGATCTGTGTTGAGGTCAGATGAGAGACCTTCTGGGTGGCTTTACTTCTATAGTCTGGAGGAGACTGTAAGAAGCTTCTGTAAGATGCCATAATATGATAGTGGGAGGATTGGACTGAACCCCCTGACCTGAGACCTGGGTTGGCTCTTTTGAGCAATACTTTGCATAAACATGTGGCAAAGGAAAAGAGCGGCACAGACAGCACTAACTGTAGTCTCCATTTGTATGCCATTTAGTAACATTTTTCAGTACATCAGTGAGAATGTTCCTTCCACTTCCACAGTCCTCTTCTCCAACAGCCATCTTCTTGTACAACCAGCTGCAAGTCTTTCTAAGGACTAGATTTGTCTATGGTGATAGAAGTAACAATGTTGGGAGCACTCCTTTATTTCTCTCTGGGGGCTCTTTTTCCTCTAGCCATGGATGGCAGCACAAAAGGCAAATTCTTATTTTAAAGACCCTGTGGCACTGAGCCATAAGTTCCAAGGCCTCAGAGCTCCTGGAGAAAGCACAGCTGTGTTCTGACCCATTGAACTGGTCATGCCTAGTTGTCTTGTTTTAGTGGCGAAGCATTGGTACCATTGACCCAGCATGGTTCCTTAATAATGTTGATGGAATGTTACTGAGGTAGCCTTAACTTCATGGCACTTCTTTTGCTGTGTGATGATATGTAGAGAAGTTAATAACAGTTTAACCAAGAAAACTTTTTCCAACTTCTCAAGGTGAGGAAAATGGAACACTGAAGCAAAAAAAATTAATGAAAACTACAGAAAAGCCCTAGTACTTTTTACTTTATAAACTCCATGACTGTAAATTTACACTACAGATAATAAGGATATATAGGAATCATATATGGTTGAGTAGTCTGGTAAGATGTGAACATGACATTGTGACAGTCTGATCTTGTACGTAGGCATGTCTGCCTTGCTGCAGATTTTGGCAGTTTTGAAATGATTATGTTGTACAGTTGTCAGCTCCATCCTCAGCCCTGCTTCTTTGTCCCACCAATTCCAATGAAAGGTGTGGCCAGTTACTGGGTTTGTAACTCACAGGGGAAGTGCATTTTTAGTGAGGGCCCCAGGGCAATCTTAGAATGGTAGACAAATGTGAATAATGAATACCAAGTTGCCAAGATATCTGAATGCCTGGCAGAAAGTTTTCTAAGGTAGACATACAAGATAAACCTTGCTTCTATCTTTTGGCAAAAGGCTCTGGGTACTTCATTTATTTTATTCCTTTGCGTGTGTGTGTGTGTGTGTGTGTGTGTGTGTGTGTGTGCTGACAACATTGTACTTCACAAAGTATTAGTACTTGGGAGGGATGGGTAGACAGATGCCAGGTGGTATTTTCATACTAAGCGGCTCTTGAAAGTCAATCTACATATAATACATCATTGAGGTTGTTTTGTGTGAAACATTTTGAATGACCTGTTTGGGAATATAAATAATTTACACAGCGATAAACTGCATTGAATTAGGGGAGTGCGAGTAATTTTGTTTTTAGAGAAAAATTTCAAGTGGACACGAATACTTTTATCTATTGCATAGGTGAATCAAACACTTGGAGGATTAAGTCAGAGCAGGCAACTTTGTGGTTTCAGTAGGTTACATTAACTGTGTTAGGACACATGCAGAGTTAAAGTCAAGGATCTTCACTCCTTATTTTCTCTAGTTCTTTTGTAGTTTGACTGAAGTTGGAAAGAAGAGGAAAAGGGATGTGAAAGAAGGTCATGGAAAGATTAGTACTCCCTTAACTTTCTCACTATTAAAATTAGAAGCCTATTTCTCTCCACGGATGAGAAATGAACTTAGAGCAAATTTTATAGAGTCTGTTAATAGACTATAGAAAGTGGACTTGGCGTGAAGATAGAGTAATGTTTACATGTATGATTGCTGGTAATTCTTTATTTCTAAGAGATTATTCATCTAGTTAGATTTCTGTACTGGTTTATTTGATAAATGGAATTATTAAATAATAATTAACTCATCTCTGTATTCCTAAATTACAAGTAACTGGATGTTTTAATACCATTAATAGGGAATAATACCAGGGGCTCAAAATAATACCGGCATTCAAAAATAACATTTGATGTCTTCTTCAAATGGCTAAACGTTTATTATTTAATTTGATTTTTACAATCATCCTCATTTAATGCATGAGAAATCCAAGCTAGAGAAAGGTTAAATGATTTTTAAAGACCACATGGCTAGTAATAGGCAGAAGCAAAATTAGAACTTGGCTTTCTAAACTCACATTGCATTGTTCTATTCTACCTTACCCTAAATGTATAAAAATTAAAATAAATTACATGATCATTTTTAGTCTCAGCAGTTGAACATTTTCTATTAAATATATAATTTGTAAAGTATCTTAGTTGGTCCACTAATTTCATTTTCTTTAAAGAACTTAAAACCTTATAATTGTACAAGTAATACATAGTCATAGTAGAAAAATGAGAAAATAGTGAGAAACATAAAAAATGTAAAAATTAAAATAAAAATTCCCCCACCATACAGTGTTACGCATTAGTCCATATACTTCTAGGTGTTTTTCTGGGCGTATGTATGTGTGTATATGTGTATGCATATGGTTTTCTGTTCTGTAACAGTTTGTCATGAGTATATTTGCATATCAATATAAACATACTTTATAACTTAATTTTCAATAACAGCATTACCATTTCATTTTTTGGATACCTTATTTATTTAGTCACCAATTGTATGTTTAGGTTATCTTCAGATTTTTAATACTATGTATAACAACCTTTTATATATGTCTTTTATATATACTTTCCTCTGGATAAATTTCTGTAAGTGGACTTGTTTTTACCAATGGGTTTACATTTTTTTAAAGGTTTCGATGTGTATTTCCAAATTTGAAGGGATTATATCACTTTATACTAGAATATTAGTAGTGTGTTGTGTGGGAGTGTGCTCATTCCCTTCGCTTTTATTAGCATTTGGGTATTTTCCTGTTTTATAATCTTTCCCATTTGCAAGTCAGTAAGTAGTATCTCATTGCTTTTGGATATTTTTTATTATTAAGGGAACATCTTTTCACATGTTTATTGACCATTTATATTTCTTGTTTTGCCTGTTCAGAGCCTTTGCCCATTTTTTCTGCTAAAGTATTTTTCTTGATCTTAGTGATTTCCAAGAACTCCTTATATATCAAATATAATAAACCTATTTTACCTCAGTTGGTTGGAGTGTCATCCCGTACACCAAAAGTTTTCAGGTTCGATCCCTGGTCGGCACGGATGTGGAAGGCAACCAATCAATGTTTATCACATGATATTTCTCTCTCTCTCTTCCCCCCCCCCCCCCCCGCCCCTTCCTCTCAAAAAAAAAATAAAAAATAGTAAAAACTCCTTATCCTTGGGTAAGGATTTAAAAACAAAAAATAAAAACCCCACCTATTTTGACATCTAAGTTGCAAAATTTCCCCATCTTTTTGTCATTTAAATGTTTTTTTTTTCTAGGCAGGTATTAACGCAGATGCCTTTCCCCAGTCCCCACCCTGCCTCCTTTAGAGCCTTTTACTCCATATTCATAAAAAGTATTGATCATAGTTTTCTTCAATCCTTTAAGTATCTTTAATTTTTTAATCTCTTTGAAACTTATTTTGGTATTAAATAGAAGAAATATATCTATATATATGGCTCTGTCCCAAGTTCTTGGCACAGAGCTTCTAAAAACTTGCAGTTTCCTAAGTGATAAGAGTACAATCAGCATCTTTTGTTCTAATATTTCCTGACATAGGGTACTAAATCTCTTGGAATTTCCTGGGTGATTTCAGTGTCTTTTGTTCTGATGAGGCCACTCTTTCTTGATGGGCTCCTGATTGGATCTGGTTACCAGAAAGACCAACCCATGATTAGAAGCTGGAATCTTCAGCTCTATCCCCCATTCTCCAGAGAGGGGAGAGAGGCTGGAAATGGAGTTAATAATTGATCTTGCCTACATGATGAAGCTTCCATAGAAAACCCAACGTTATGGAATTCAGAGAGCTTCCAGGTTGCTGTACCTGTGGAGGTGCTGGGAGAATGGTATGCTTGGAGAGGGCATGGAAGCTCCATAGCCCTTCCCACATACCTTGCCTGTGCATCTCCATCTGCATGTTCATCTGTATCTTTTATCATATCCTATATAATAAAAGGGTAATATGCAAATCGACCGAACGGTGGAACGATCGGTCGGGACTGAGTGAGAAGGGCCGGACACACCCTGGAGCCCTCCGGTAGTCCCTCCCCGGCTGGACAACCTCCTGCATCCCTCCCTGGCCTGCGCCTTCTCGCAATCCGGGACTCCTTGGGGGATGTTGGAGAGCTGGTTTCCGCCTGGTCCTGCAGGCCAGGCCGAGGGACCCCACTGGTGCACAAATTCGTGTACCGGGCCTCTAGTTCTTTTATAAAACACTAGAGGCCCGGTGCACAAAATTCGTGCCTGGGGAGGGTCCCTAGGCCTGGCCAGCAATCGGGGCCAGCCGGGATCTTCCTTCATTCCACGCTGTCCCCTGGTGGTCAGCACATGTCATAGCAAGTGGTCAAACTCCCAGCCGGTCGAACTCCCGAGGGGACAATTTGCATATTAGCCTTTTATTATATAGGATTGGTAGTAATTAAGTAAGCTGTTTTCCTGAGTTCTGTGAGCTGCTCCAGCAAATTAATTGAACTTGAGTAGGGGATGTGAGAACCTTTGATTTATAGCTGATTGACCAGAAGCACAGATAACAACTTGAACTTGTTATTATTGTCATCTGAAGTGTGTGTGTGGGGACTGAGCCCTTAACCTGTGACACCTGATACTGTCTCCAGATAGATAGTGTCAGAATTAAGTTAAACTGTAGGTCACCTCGCTGTTGTCACAGAATTACTTGGTGTGGGAAAAACCCACGCATCTGATGTCAGAAGTGTTGTGAGTGTGGTAGTAGTTGAAGTTAAAGGAAACACACAGGAGAAATGTAGGTTTTCTAAATCTATATGATCCAAAGTAAGGTTCTTTTATTTTTATTCCCAAAATACTTAGCCAAATGTTCTAGCATGAGGTATTTCTTTTTCACTAATTGAAACGCAATCATTATCATATACTAAATAGATAACTTGAGTCTGTTTCTGGTCTTTCTGTTCTGTTATATTAATTGTCCTGTTTGGCTCATCTAGGTACCTCACTGTTCTTATTATTGTGGTTTTGTAGAGCATTATTACTAGGCAGTCCATTCATTTTAATCTGTTGGTAAAATGATCAATAATGAGCTCTATATGAACTCTGCCTAGATCTGAGTTTTGTGACTGGCTCCCATGTTGGAGAGCTGATCATCTGGGATACCCTGGACTGGACTATGCAGGCCTGTGAACACAACTTCTGGGACCCATTTCCACAGCTGGACACTCAGCAAGAAATAAAACTGTGTCAAAAACCAAATGACATTTCTATTCATCATTTAACATGGGATGAAGAGGTAAGAAAAAATCAAGAAAATATCTATAAAGTTGCCCTTTTAAATAAACCCTGTTTCTAATTTTTAAAATTTAACCTATTATTACCCATATTAAAGTTGTGCTTTAAAATGTTCTGATATTTTTTGAAGATTATACCACTTGCATTTTTTTAAAAAAGCATTTTAATCTTAGCTTCTATCCTTAAGGCAAGGAAGTGATTAAATGGCCACAGATTTAAAAACTTTCTTGAAATTTTGAGTTGGATTAAATAATTCCATAGAATTTGAGGATAATGATTTAAATTGTTTTAAGAAATACTTTGGGGTAAGAATCCTTTTTAAGATTCTGGTGCATTTCTTAAAGAAGTAAAGGAAATAAAAATATTGAAGAGTTTTTTTCTTTTAGTCTCCTAGCATCCTGGGGCAAGATGATTGTCTGAGAATTACTGATTTCAATCCTTTAGGCTTTGGAGGTGATGCTCTTGAAGTACTTTACATCTTTTTTGCAGTAAGAGATGAATAGCACTGGATTAATGAATCCTGGCTAAGAAAATGTATTTAAAGGGGAGTTTACATTCCTTATGATTACATTTAGAAATAAATGTAATCATAAGAAATGTTTAAGCCCTCGCAGGCATGGCTCAATGGTTAAAGTGTGGGCCCGTGCGCTGGAGGCTCACTGTTTTGATCTCGACCTCCCCACCCCCACCCCTCATCAGGGCACTTGTGGGAGGCAATCAGTTTCTCACATTGATGTTTCTCTACCACTACCACCCACCGTGTCCCCCCCCCGCCCCCCCCCCCACCGTGTCCCCCAGCTTCTTCCACTCTAAAAATCAATGGAAAAATATCCTCGAGTGAGGATTAACAACAACAAAAATGTTTAAGGGCTGTAACCTTTGAAGAGAGGAAGCTTTTATTTCACTGTATTTTGTGCCTTTCTACAGTTTAAATTTTCTAATTATATGCATGTTATTTTTATTTACACATTTCATAAATAATGTCTGGATGAGGAGAGTATTGCATATTTTTTTGTTTTCTTTGCACCTCTCTCACTTTAAAAACAAAACAATAGGATAAGACTAGAATACAGAACAGTAGTATAACCAAAGATTAAATTTCTTTATGTCCCAATTTTATGTTGAAAAAAATTAAATATATATGCTAAAAACAATAGGGTTTCAGAAAAGATGTATAACTAGATTTCTAGGAGTCGGAGTCCTAAAACTTATTCTTAATTTTCTCTTTTTAAATCTTTTTCTATTTTTTGAAAAAAATTGGTATTTAAAATGTTTTTAATTTTGCATTCTTTTTAATCTTAATTTTGATAGATGCTTATTAACAACTATAAATGCTTGATAAAACATTGCTCAGTTTTCTCTGACTTTCCTTCTCTTATAGGGGTTCTTTCTTTCTACTAGGGCCCATTAATTATTAATAACAGGTAAATGATAGAGTCTATTGACTGACTCACTGCAGCCTTAAAGCTCATTAATTCTCTAGGTGTGATATAATTTTTTTGTGTGACCTTGGATAAATTACTTAAACTCTGTACAGATTTCCTGGTCTGTAAAACTAGTTTCTTTGCGTTGAATGCTACCAATAGGGTTCTATATTTTAGCAAGTTGGCTAACTGTTCCTTAATGGCCCTGGCACTGATCCTCAGCTTGCATTGCTAAATGTGGAGTACCAATTCTGAAGGTCAGGGGGATCATAGACTCTGGTAAGCCATGGGGTCATGCTTTGGTCCAGATACTGGAGGTCTGAGTTGGGTTTGAGGCCACATAAGTAAGGTTCAGACAACAGAGAGGCAATCTGTAGGGGTTTTTGAAAGGTCTGCTTCACTGGGGTATCTAATGAGCAAGAATGAATGATTCTAAGATATGTATATGTGCTACCAAAAGTCTAGTGACTTGCAAAATGATTTGAGAACCTATGCAGTATGATATGAGGAAAGAAAGGGCAAAGGACTGGAGTAACATGACCTTGAGTATAAATATTGACTCCCTGTCTTAATTTTTTTTTTTTAATATATTTTATTGATATTTTACAGAGAGGAAGGGAGAGAGATAGAGAGTTAGAAACATCGATGAGAGAGAAACATCGATCAGCTGCCTCCTGCACATCTCCTACTGGGGATGTGCCCGCAACCCAGGTACATGCCCTTGACCGGAATCGAACCTGGGACCTTTCAGTCCGCAAGCTGACGCTCTATCCACTGAGCCAAACCGGTTTCAGCTCCCTGTCTTAATTTTATGTGTAACTTTAATCTTTCATTTTTAACTTGCTCACCTGAAAGATGCCAATTATACTTGCTTTTCCTATCCTTAATGAGATGTTATGAGGCTGAAGTAAGTTAAATACTGTAAAAATACTTTCAAAAGATTAAAGTTGTTTTAATAAAGAGATATTTCTAACTAGAGGCCCGGTGCATGAAATTCGTGCACAGGGGTGGGGGAATGGAGTTCCTCAGCCCAGCAGGGCTAATCTACCAGCCCCCTTCCTAGCTGTTATCTATAATAATAAAAGCGTAACATGCTAATTAGACCAGACACCCGAACGACCTTCTGGACGTCATTCCAGATGTCCTCCCAGATGAAGCCGCAGGTGACAGGGGCCAAGGCATAGTTGGTTAGGGGTGATCAGGTGCCGGGAGCCGGTCCATGCTTGCTGTTTCAAGGGACCTGGCATATATGGCATACTGTTCTTAATATGTTTGCTCACCTTCTTGGCACTATGTGTTTTAACCAAGGTCTCTGAGAAAGGTTGTTTCCCCAGGTAGGGATTTTCCCCTGAAGTTAGGGAGGGAATAAAACCTCTTAACTAAGTGCCAGGTGGGTAATTAATCACTTTAACTATGAACAATCATGCTTAAGCTACACAATCTTTACTCCTTGGAATGGAGATAAGAAACGCCCTAACCTTTGGAATAGAGATTGATAGGATTGAATCAACTGGTATAAATACAGATGTAACAAGACAGCAGAACACAGGACTTAGAACCTAGACAGAACTTAGAAGACAGAACCTACACACAGAACCTACACAGAACCTAGAGACAGAAGAACTTCGCTGGAGAGAACATGGCAAAAGATCCTGGACTGAACCTGACTACAGAAATTGGCAAGAGAACCTGACTAGAACCTGGTGACTGAACCTGGCTACAGAACCTGTCTGGAGAACCTGGAGAACCTGGCTGGAGAACCTAGCGAGGGAACATGGCTACAGAACCTGTCTGGAGAACCTGGAGAACCTGTCTGGAGAACCTAGCAAGAGAACATGGACACAGAACCTGGCTGGAGATCCTAACCAGAACTTCGCTGGAGAGCCTGACCAGAACTTGGCTAGAGATCCTGGCTAGGCTGCTGATCAACTGAACGCTGCCTCTGAGTCTTTCCCTCTTCGCCGACTCCGTCTACGCTTTTGGGAACCCCTGGACCTGCTGGGGTTGGACCCCGGCAATCAGGCAGGCAGGCAAGCAGTTAGGGGCGATCAGGCAGGCAGGCAGAGTGGTTAGGGGTGATCAGGAAGGGATCGGGCGTAAACTGGCAGTTGGACATCCCCTGAGGGGTCCCAGATTGCAGGAGGGTGCAGACCGGGCTGAGGGAACCCCCCCCCCCACCACCTGTGCACAAATTTTGTGCACCGGGCCTCTAGTCCTATATATAATAAAAGGCTAATATGCAAATTGACCAAACGGTGGAACAACCGGTTGCTATGACCCAGCAGGGGGCAGACGCTCAATGTAGGAGCTACCCCCTAGTGGTCAGTGCGCTTCCACAGGGGGAGCACTGCTCAGCCAGAAGCTGGTCTCACTGCTGGTGAGAGCAGCGGCAGTGGCAGGAGCCTCTCCTGCCTCTGCAGCAGTGCTAAGGATGTCCGACTGACAGCTCCCATGGGGAGCGGGCCTAAGCTCTCAGTTGGACATCCTCTGAGGGCTCCCAGACTGTGAAAGGGTGCAGGCTGGGCTGAGGGACCCCCCGAGTGCACAAATTTCGTGCACTGGGCCTCTAGTATTTCAATAAGAAAGTGATGCTTAGGGGTGTAATATATAGAGCTTTCTCTGTATTTGCAATTGTGTCCTTCTACCTTCTAAATGCTGAGCTTTCCTTCGTGATTTGAAATTTTTGGACTTCAGAGGGCAGCACAGTAATTTGGGCTGAAGGCTAGGAATAGAGGAAAGTAACAATGATTTTCTGATGTCACACCAGGGCTGGAAATCTATTACACTAGGTAGTGGTAAGCAATAGTTTTATTCCCATTTCTGAATTTCCCCTCCAGAATGTATTTGTCGCAGTTGGAAGGGGTTTATACGTGTATAACCTTCAAATGAAGCGTGTGATTGCCTGCCAGAAAACTGCCCATGACTCCAGGGTCCAGCACATTGCCAAGCTTCCAAACAGGTACAAGTTCCCATCTGCTTTGCAACAGATGAGAGAAATTCACAGTTCCTAGGGCTACCAATGTAATTTCTCAAGTGGCAAAGTTGCCTGGCTTTGTGACTTGACCTGCTATATTCTTTTGGAAATGGATAATACCATGTGGCTATCTCTAATAAAAGAGTTTGTGGCAATGTATTACAAAATTTACAAGAAGCAAGGTTCAGATGAATTATATTGAATCTCATTATAAGAAGCAGTACTTTAAACTATGGCATTTATTTTAACAGGTGAAAGACTTTTGGGCATTTACTAAGTGCTAATTTTTCTTTTTATATTTTCCATAAACACATCTTTTTGTTGTTTGTTTATAGCCAGAATGAAATGGAAATCTCCTGTTATCGAAGGTTACTGAGACTTTCCTTCTAGAAAATTTGGCTGCTGGATTTTTAGGGAGGAACTTATATGAAGGGAATAGTATTATTTTCTATGCAGGTTATTTTCAGGGTGAGAGGCACCCTGAGCAGAGATATAATGAGGGGAGGACAGGGGACTGTCGCTCAGGATATTATGAAAGTGTAATCCATATCCTATTTTCCTGAATGCATTTTAAAAAATGAAGACAAAATATTTATAACTTTTGAGCCAATGTAACAATATAATGTGTGTCTTTCCTGAAGAGTGCTTTTACTTTGCATTGAGAAAGCCATGTTAAATTGTGGTTTTTATCAGCTCCTGCCAAGAACTGAATAAAAGCAATCGAGGGCTCCACTTATTCTTTTCACTGCAAATTTAGCATTGGCCCTCCATGGTGCTCTTTTTATCACTGATTTTCTGTTCTGACAGGCAGTTAATCTCATGCTCAGAAGATGGCAGTGTACGCATTTGGGAGTTACGAGAGAAACAGCAGATTGCAGCTGAACCTGTACCAACAGGTGTGTATCTTTTCTCAAAAAAGGCAGTCTTTCTTTTTTTCTCATGTGAAAGACAGAAGGCAGTTATGTATAACCACAAGAATAATATCCAGTATGTCTATATGAGGCATATGGTAATTGGGATTTAGGATTCACATCTTAATATTATTTTAATATAGAATTGCCTCTTTATTTCTATCCAAGTCAACTAGGATTTTCTTGTTTTGAAGAGAAACTTATTTTCTAGTAATCTGGTCAGATGGCCTGATGAAGTAATTATTCATTTATATTGTTTATAATTGTGTCTGATACACAAACAATTTGTATGGTCAGATATTAAACTGAAGTGTTCTTTCAGACTTGAGGCATTATATCATTAACATTGAACTCTGTTTACTGGAAAACACACATTTGTGTTTATATCATAATCTCATGAACTCTTAACTTTCAGGTGTTCGGTTCATAAAACAAAATCATGGTTTATTAGCAACCTTTGCATGAGAAATCAGATGATGGTACCTCTGGAGTTTCTTCTGGTTATCTGAAGTCATAGGGCAGTGATGGCGAACCTTTTGAGCTCGGTGTGTCAGCATTTTGAAAAACCCTAACTTAACTGTCATATATAGAAATTTTTTGATATTTGCAACCACAGTAAAACAAAGACTTATATTTTTGATATTCATTTTATATATTTAAATGCCATTTAACAAAGAAAAATCAACCAAAAAAATTAGTTTGCGTGTCACTTTTGACACGTGTGTCATAGGTTCGCCATCACTGTCATAGGGTATTATTTTTAGTCAACCCTTGTTGGTAGATCTGTATTGTGACTCTTTTTTTCCGGGGGCGGGGTGGGAGGAGGGGAGCTCTGCCATCCAGGTCTTTTATTTCTCTTTTATTCCCAGTGTCTGTCTTTTTCTCAAATTAATACACCTTCACCAGTGAGTGAGTAGGGGCAAAAAAGAGAGACCAGTGACGAACCTGATGCAGGAGGCAACCAGTTGATGTGTCTCTCCTATCGATGTTTCTCTGTCTCTCTCTCTCCCCCTATCTCTTCCATTTTCTCCTAAAAAAAAAAAAAATCAATGGAAAAATGTCCTTGGGTGAGGATTTTAAAAAAAAGCACAGAAGGTCTTCCCATCTAAATATTGTTTTTCTGATCTTATATTACTATTAGAGGCCAGGTGCACGAAATTCTTGCACAGATAGGGTCCCTAGGCCTAGCCAACGATTGGGGCTGATCTGTGGGCAGTTTGGGGTGATCGCCCCCCTGCCCCCCCACTTGCACCAGCCTTGGCTGGCATGGCGCCACCCACTCGCCGGCCCCGCCCCCTGCCGCCCCCACTGGTTGGGGCCTGTGTGCTGGGGGCAGCTCCTGCATTAATCATCTGCCCCCTGGTGGTCAGTGTGCGTCATAGCGACCGGTCATTCTGCTGTTCGGTCTGTTTGCATATTAGAGTTTTATTTAGATAGATCATGAGTAAAGAGCACAGTAATTTTGAAAATGCCTGAAATGATTTTTTTCTAGGTTTTTTTAACATGTGGGGATTTGGAAGAGTGAACAAACAAGCCAGCCAACCTGTTAAAAAGCAACAAGAAAATGCCACTTCATGTTTACTGGAGCTTATTGGAGACTTGATTGGACACTCATCATCTGTAGAGGTATTGTTTTTAATAGGCATATAAATGTCTAGGGAATTCCTGCTTTTGCATTTTACTGCTCTTCATTCTGTTGGTATCATAAAGACCTGTACTTTCTCTTCTCTGTAGGTTTTTATTGAATTGAAACATGGAATAGGATAGGTTGTAGTATGAGCAATTAGGATCTTTCTTTACAGAGAGATGATTTGAGGAGCCAAGGAATGAGTTGCTTCTAAATCAGCTATTTCCAATTTATTATGTTTTTTTCCAATCTGACAAAACATAGATATCATTTTGATTCATTTACATCAGATAGCAATTGTTTTGTTTGCTATTGTCAATATAAGGGAAAAGGTATCAGTGCCCCTGATTAAATAGTCATGTATTGCATGTTTTAAAAATACTTCCAGCACACCAGTTGAATATCACTGCTCTAAATAATGGGCTTAATTACCATTATTTATGAGATGAAGATAGCTGACAGTAAGGACAATGTGAATAATGTTGAATATATAACAGTAGTAAATAGAGGATTGTGGAGAGAGAGATATTTAGCCTTACAGAACCTAATTCCAGGGGTCTTTATCATATTCATGAATAGAGTGCTGTTTACCTCCCTTTGAAGGATCATAATTCGTCAGCTTTAGTAAAACCCAGTGTCTTGATTATCATTGTGCATATGTGAAAATATTAGTTGAGAATTATAAAATGCATACAATTCTAACTTGTAATCCAAATATATTAATATTTCTTATAGGCACCATTGCCTGTAATGAAGGAATAATAATAATCAAGATAAATAGACGATTGGAACTGGTAATAGTGTGATAGCAGTATAAACAAGGCCCTAAATAATGACTTTCTTAAATTGTTCTTCCTGTTTCATAGCCAGGGAGGAACAAATTCTCATTTGAAAGTGCATTTATACTTAGGAGAAGTACCACACTTGTTATAAAGCATTTCCTATATTTCAGGCACTATACTAGACAGTGGAGTTTACAAAGAGATATAAAACTACAATACTTGCCCTATGGATCTTATACTTTAGTAGTGAGAAGGGATACAGACCTAGTAAGCTGTTAATCTAGGCTTCTTATGCGGACCTAGATGCATAGCAGACAGTGGAGAGTCAGGAATGAGAAGAAAATGATTAGTGGAAGATAGAGGACTTGAGCTGAAGCTTAAAAGTTAGGGAGGATTGATGCTCCGAGATACTGGGTACTCATCTTTGCTTTCCTCTAACAAGTAGTCCAATTGTTTTGTTGTTTAACTTCATTTGCTTGGCTATATGGGAGTGTTGAGGATGGAATGTGGTAGGGAAAAGGACAAAAATAGGAACTATTTGGTGGCAAGGAGCAGATTCGCTAGGCTAGAGCATTGGATTTCTGTGAACACGTGCTGGCATCAGAGAAGGAGCCTGGGAAACTAGTTGGGTTAGAGTATGAATGCCCTTGAATGTTAGGCTGAGGAGTTTGGATTTTCTTTAAAAATAGTAGGAACCCATTAAAGGTTTCACACGTATTACTCAGTGGTGGAGGAAACCTTCAAAGTGGCAGTTGTCAAAATATAGAAATGTCAATTTCTTAGGAATTTTCCTGAGTGAAAGTATTGATAATTAAAGCTTTTTTTTAAAAAAAAAAAAATTGTATCTCTGGCCTCACTAAGTACCTGAGAGACTAGATTTTCTATTTCCTGAATTTTCTTATTCCTTTTATTGTATTTTCATCTGTACTCCAACCCCTCTGTGTTCTGTTTTTTCCATGTCCTGAGGAATTTTGTTCCAGTATTAACACCCTGCACTCCTACATTAACAGCTGAGGCCTTATCCTGCTATCTTCAAAATGTATAAGTTATTTCAAAGAAAATTCTCATTCTCCTGTGTTCTTTAATGTTATTTCTCTCCTTTATTTCATTCTTTCCTTGGAGGAGCTCATCCTTTTCATGACTTCATTCATGTCCTCTCTCCACTTCATAGTACTCATGTTGCCTTCTCATCAACACTCCATTTTCCTATGACCTTCCCTTTATTTGGAGATGTTTATGTTTTTGAAACTTTCTCTGACATTTTCAGTTATTATTGATCTATGTCCTCTTTTTCTGAATTTCCGTGACAAATTATAATCTGAACTACTTATTACATAGTACCTGATCACACAGTCTTTAATGGGTGCCCTAATTGTTTCTCAGCAACTGAATTAGAACCTTCTTGAGGGTAGGGACCATATGCATATAATGACACTCAATAAATGCTTATGTATGGATTGATTATCTTGTTTTATTTACAGATCTGAAGCCACTGTTTATCTTGGGAGAATTCAGACTTTTATTTTGGTAGCCATTTGTGTATAAATAATGGGACAAGTTATAAGTGATTAAGTAAAGTAGGTCTGACAGGACTTCTTAAAATCTTAAAACTAGTACTTGAAGAAGAATATGGTAAAATACAGAAGATACTCTAGGAATTCATGTACATTATAAAAATAGCTGTTATAGTTCTGTAGTTGGGCAGTATTAAAGTTCTAATTATTAAAATACTAGATATTGGTCATTGGTCTAGTATTTATATTTTTAGTACTTATATATTTGTATGTGACTATTATCAACACTTAAAAAATAAAATTTCTTATGGAAAATGATATGGAGTCTTACATTCAGATCCAAAGATATCTCCAAGGTAGACATCTTACAAACACACGTGTTGCTTTAATTTGGCCATGTCTCTTCTCCTTGAAGTTCCTGTACTCAGTAGTTTAAAATTTCTTTACAGATGTTTCTATACTTTGAAGATCATGGACTAGTGACATGCTCTGCTGATCATCTCATTATTTTATGGAAAAATGGAGACCGAGAATCTGGATTGCGCAGTTTAAAATTATTTCAAAAATTAGAGGAGAATGGTGACTTGTATCTTGCTGCCTAGTTTAAGGAATTTAGAATACATGTGCATGAACTTGAATATCAAATATAGGGTAATACTCTGAAAACCATTAACATGTACTCACTTAAATGTGTAATGTATTTTTTTCTTGTTACTTTATAAAATTCTGATTGTTTGAATTCTTTTTTTTTTGGGGGGCGGGGGGCATGCAAACCTGCAACAAGTTAGGTGTGAGTACATCCACCAAAGAATATACCACAAGTATGTTAGCAGTGAATTTTCAAAAGTTGAAGTTTTCAGATCACAATACAAGTATCTGTTGATACAGAATAAAAGTATACCATAGTGTCCTTACAATTTAAAAAATTTATGCTTTAGAAAATTTTACCCCAGAAATTATGAGCTTGTGGTAAATGAGCATAGTACTCAGAGCCTCTTTCTTCAGTATAATTTTATTACCTCTAATTCAATTCTTATTCATCATTAAATTTTTTTAAGTTGCATATAGTTTCTTTCATTTAGTCTTTGGATTTTGAAATACCTTTGTTCTCAAATGAATACCTTACATATCCTTTTTCATTTCTTTAAAATTTTATTTAAGGAAATAAGTATACATGATAATTATAGAAGGTGTTTTGGGAGGAAAAACCCACTGAGGAAGAGGTAGGATGTAGCATAACTTGAATGTAAACCTTGAGCTCTCCTGAGAACTTTCTTCCCTGTAGGAAATGGAGAGTGCATAATTGCACATATGCTGCTGAAGCGGTGAGTACTGTTCTGAGGTTCAAACAGAACAGTAAAGTTGTGGTTTTAATTATAAGTTTTTTATTCTTTGGTTATCATTAGAACCCATTTGATTAAGAATCCTTGTGATAAATTTAAATATATCCTTTCTCTTATAAATTCCTCTCATCTTTAATAACTAATTATCAAGGTTCTATAGAGCAAATTTGACTCTCTGGTGCCAACTAATTTGTTAAATCATTTTTTATTTTTAGTTCTAGCTACTAAAATTCCTATAAACTCAAATCAGTAGGAATCTTATGAGGATGTATTTTTCTCCTCAGTGTGAATTGGCCTGAAGAGCTATTGGCTAGATTGGTACTCCACTAGCCGCTGCCCTCTTACATGCCAGGGGTGAGAGCTAGGTGAGTATAGTGTTCCAGTCAGAGACGGCAGTCCAAAGTGCCTGGTTCATCTTACCATTGGCTCAGAAATGAAATGCTTGAGACAGGCTTCACTTAGGTAGTTTCTTGCAGTAGTCACTGAGATTTAATCATCTTCATCAGCTTTATATCAGAGCACTCTTTCTCCCTTTTGGTACTAAAGGATAAAAATTAAGAAGTGTTCCACACATTAAAAATGGGTGAGTTTAGTAGTGGAGTTATTAAATTTAAACTGTTGATGAAAGAATTCTAGTAAAGTAAGTGCAAGGTGACGGATGTGTCAGAGGACTGATCCTTCTCAAAGAACATTTTTCTGCAGACTTATTCATCACACACACACTCTTGATGGAATCTTTATAAATTGTTTTTACTAGTTTTTACCTTTGACAGCTGCTTTCACAACTGCCTCCAAAGACCGGAAGAGCTAAGGTTATCTATGCCAGACCAGTGCCATAATGTTATGAATGAGAAACCTGAGGCCCAGAGAGGTAAGGCCTTGTAATGTGTTAGCTCTGTTCCCTTATCATCATTGAGTGGCATTAAAGACAAATCAAAGATACTTACATGACTACCATGTGAGGAAGAGCAAATAATGTTCAGTTATTTTTTAATTTATAATGAAAATAGCTTTAGAGAAATATATTAAAATCTGTTCCTTCCAGTACAGAATAGAAGAACATGAATGTTATCCAACAACTTGTTATTTGTGGCATATTTGAGGAATTGCAGAAATAGCTTTCTAATCTTTTATCCTGAAGGTGCAGCATGGTTACTATCCCAACACCAGGCAGACATGCATTCTGGTCTGAGTGCATCAGATGGTTGATTAGTTGGATTAAATATCTCAGAATCATTTTTAGGCTTTAATATTTACTTCATTACTAGCTAGCAGTTTTTCTTTGGAAATTTTACATTAGGTCATGAGTTTGTAAAATTGTTTTCTATGACATATTCTGTGAATTATATGAGAAACTCATCATTTTTAACTGCTTTATTTCCTAATCTGTTCTGGGTTAGTAATTTGTGATAGTATTCTGTTCACATGGAGTGATACAAACCTCAGGTGAGTTTTAGGAGTCAATACTACCAGGGCAAATCAATCTATTACGTACTCTAGTTTTCTGCCATAAAAAACTGTGTCTAGAGCAGCGGTTCTCAACCTGTGGGTCGCGACCCCTTTGGGGGTCAAACGACCCTTTCATAGGGGTCGCCTAAATACCTCCTGCATATCAGATATTTACATTACGATTCATAACAGTAGCAAAATTACAGTTATGAAGTAGCAACGAAAATAATTTTATGGTTGGGGGTCACCACAACATGAGGAACTGTATTAAAGGGTCGAGGCATTAGGAAGGTTGAGAACCACTGGTCTAGAGGGAAGCTTCCAACCCACTCACTGGACTGGTTTTTGCTTTCATGAATGCCCTAATTTAGAAGAATACAATTATGTACATTTTTTTTTCCATCTTAGTTTTTAATGCTATTTTAGTTGCAAGTAACACTATGTAGTGTGCCTTATTAACCTCATTCTCTGGCTGTATTCATATCACAATCAAAAGCCTAAACTTTGGAATATCCCTTTTATTTCTCTTCAAGTGAGATTCTGATTGAACGGGTAAGGCTTGTTCTTTGCCCACAAGACTCCTGAAGGCAAACAAATTTTAAATTGGAAGTAAAGAATGATTTAAATTATAGGGTTGTTTGTTCTGGTGCAGATAACCTAACTTTTCCTTGTGGTTAAGTAGTAGTAATATGACTTCTCTCTGTATTAGATAGGATTGCATTTTCCTAGGTTAATATAGCTCCCCTCAACACAGAATGTTTTAGTAAACAACTCAGGATAGGAGGCAATTATAATAGTTTATATCCATCTGAAAGACCACATCACATTTCTAATAAAATGACTATTTGGAGGAATGCATTATTTAGGTAGCAACTCAGATTACACAATAGTAGATTACATGCACTGATAAAGAGCAGAACTATTTTGAAGCTTTAGTACCTGGCAGTCTTAAAGAATTTGAGTTAATATGAAATTAATTTGACATTCCACTGAATAAGCTGCAACATTCATATAGAAAATGTGACGCAGCTGATAAATGTTTCTTACTTACCAAATGTAACTGAAAGAGAGATGGTCAGGAAAAGATTGTCCTCGCCTCAAGCAAGCTTCTGAAGCCTAGGCAAAGTATTTAGCTCCTTAAATGGGATTCTGATACCCTGAATTCTGAAAACAAAGTGTATGACTCATGAAATAAAGGACACTAAACCGAAAATTTGAAGTTATGAAAAACTTAGGTCAAAAAGGAGGTACAATAAAAAATAGCTGTTGGAAATGAAAAATGGCTGTAAGAATTTAGTTACAAGTATCTCACAAAAACATTTTCATCATTTACATAATGCAGCATTATAATACAACGCTAGCTGCTGTCCTGACCAAGCAAGTTTTCTTACCTAAAATAATTTAGATACACTTCTTTGCATGGAATTGTCATATATGTTTCCATTTTTTGGTATAAAACATTAAAAAAATATTGGCACATTATGTAGTGATAAGACATTTTTTTCCCCATGTACTAATTCCAAGTGTTCTGCATTCCAATTTTTGTTTGAAAAAAGTAACTACTGATTCAGTTAATTCAGTCTCTGTTTATACCTCTTAAAAATGCAGCATGGAGTACAAAGAATTTGGAAGAAAAATGAAGATATTTTGTTTACTGAGTTTATAATACATAGAGAAGGGTTGACTGATAAAAGAAAGGAAAAATACTCAAGTCCGACTTCATGTAGATCACAGAAAGTTGTAAAAGAGCTGTATAAAAATATGCACTTGTGCTTTAGAAGCTTTAGCATACAATTAATAGTATTTACTGTTTCCCCATATGTCTATTTTCTAATATATTTACACATCTTGCAATATTTTTACATCATTAAAGGAAAATGGCATGATTGCAAATACAGATAGGTTAAAAATATATGAACCTTGAAACTTCCCAAATCCCCTCCCCAAATATATACGTAGAGATGGTACATGGTACAACATACTTGATTGACTTATATCCAGAAAATTTAGATTTCATAAAAATTTTCAACAGCAAATGTATATAAATTTTTTCTTTTTTTAAAAAAGCTTGTCCAAGGGCATTCAGATTTAATGGCTTTTATATAATACTATAGTGCCTTGTGACTGCCTCTGATAACCAGAAATAAGGGGATCTCATAGAGTCCCCCAAAACAAAATGTCACTCCCCCATCATGGATGGCTTTCTATTAAGATGAATGCCTTTTATAGGAGAGAGGGATATAGGCAGCTGCTACCAGTCTAGAAGGCACTCAACAGGACAAGGCTGGGTTCTAACTTGGGTGTCATAACATCAATCAGAAGAAACAGCCAGTGAAGCTAACTGGTTTATCAATAATTTGGTCCTAAGTTCTTCATTTTATATATAGTTTCTTTTCTTAGATAGTATGAATCCTCCAGACCAAAGCTCTTGAGGAAAACAGTCAAGCTAAACAGTGATGGTGATTTTTATGGTTAAGATATGAGCTGAACACTATCTAAACTACGTGGTCACCATCCAGGGAGATGGGCTCAGAGGCACCAAGTCTGTGCTGTGTATGTCCTGCTAGTTACAGTCATTCATCTCCATGGCTGATGAGGGCACACAGGGTGACAGCATGGCAAAGGGTTTTGCCATGTATTTGTTCTGTCACTGCTTGTATAAAGAACATATCTTTGTAAAAATAAAATCTGGGGACTTATTTGATTCAAGGTCAAATATTAAACATTAGCTCCTTGACCTACACTTGTCATTTTCATTATAAAGGAAAGCCTCTCGTTTACACTACTGGGATTCACATGCCCTTGATAGAAAGAGGTCCCCTTCTCTGTCTTGGCTTCAGCTGTCAGATGGAAGCCTCA